GACTTTCTCTGAAAGCTTTTCTTAGAGATTAAGAAAAGTATGTTCTCATTAATTAAAAAATGAAGAATACAACCACTAATATATAGCCTTTGACTATTCTCTCTCTAACTAACCAAAACAGATTCTCTTTCTAACAAACCAAAACAGAATACTTTACAACACACCTATACAAACTAATAACCATATGTTGTTATGACTTGGCATCTTCATCTTTACACCCCCTCAAGCCAAACTTGGAAGAAGGCTAGATTCCAAATGAGAGCTTGGATTGTAGAAACTAAAATCTAGATTTAGACAAGGACTTTGTATGAATATCAGCAATCTGATCCTAACTGCACACATATTGGACTTCGATTAAGTTGGAAAGAACTAATTCCCGGATATAGTGATAATTTATTTCAACATACTTAGTACGAGCATGAAAACTAGGATTAGAAGCAAGAGATATGGCTGAAATGTTATTACACCAGAGAGTGGGTTTAGCAGTCATGGGAAAACCAAAATCTTTCAACACTTTGCATATCCAAGTAATCTTTGCTGCAGTTTGAGCCAAAGACCTATACTCTGCCTCAATGGATTCTTTGCACACCAACTAATCAAGTTAGTTACATTCAATGCTTTAAGCCTTTACATTCAATGTTTAGTTGCATTGAATGCATTTGGTTTATAAATGCCATTCTTAAACCTTGTGATCATGGGGTGTACATTTTGAAATTCCTACATATGTGGAACTTGCTACACATAAAGATGATTAGATTATGTGGTATCACTTGGCACAATTGAAGCAGTGGAGGTAGGTTCAACACAAACTGGAGGAGGAGTTGAAGCACAAGATGGAGCATTAGATGAAATGTATGAAGGTGGAGAAAACTCCAAATCAATAGGCTGAGATGTAGGGGTAAAAACAGAAGACACAAGGTGATGAAAATCATGAAAGGGAAATGTAGTCTCATCAAAGACTACATGTCTTGAAATATAAACCCTTTGTGTTTCTGCATCCCGACATCTATAACCTTTATGTTGTAGGTTATATCCCAAGAAAATACATCTTTTACTTTTCCCATCAAGTTTGGAGCACACATAAGGTTTTAACCATGGAAAGTACAAACAACCAAAGACTTTGAGCCTTGAGTAATCTGGAACTATATGAAATAATAACTGCTAAGGTGATTGTGAAATCCCAGAGATTGGCAATTTATTAATGAGATATAGTGCAGTCGTGAAGGCTTCAACCCAATATTGGTGAGGAACATGAGATTAAACCAATAAAGTTCTAGCTGTCTCAACTAGATGACGATGTTTCCTTTCCACACAACCATTTTGTTCTGGTGTGTGTGGACAACTTAATTGATGAAGAATTCCATGAGTTTGAAGATAATATTTAAAAGATAGACTTGTAAACTCAACCCCTGAATCAGAACGTACAATTTTGATTGTATTTCCAGTTGTGTTTTCTAAATAGTTTTTGAAGAGTACAAAAATAGAATACACTTGAGACTTGACCTTTAAAGAAAACATCCAACTATACTTGCTGAAATCATCAACTATGAGGAGATAATACTTAAATCCACTCACTGAAGTTACAGGAGCAGGACCCCACAAATCACAATGTAACCATTCTAAGCTATGAGTAGTTGATGATGTGGAAGAACCATAGGGTAACTTGTGATTCTTTGCTATAGCACACTCAGAGCAAAACAAATCCACAGTTGTTGTTCCTTTGACTGCAAGTTTATTAGTAGATAGTACTCTGTGAAATATAGAAGAAGAGAGATGGTCTAGCCGAGTGTGCCAGAGCCTGAGAGGAGCTTGAACATTCACCAGAGCATGAAAAGAGCTGGATGAGGATAAACCAGGGGAAGAAGAGCTTTGCAAAGGATAAAAACAATCCTTAACTGGACCCTGCAAAAACGTCTTACCCGTAGAACGATCATTTACAATGGATCTATCAGAATCAAGAATCAATGCACAATAGTTATCTTTAACAAACTGATAAGCTGACAACAAATTATGCTTCATTTTTGGAACGTGAAGAACATTGCACAATTTAAAGACAACATTAGAGGTATGCAATGAAGAACCAATATGTTGTATGGATAGACCTTTACTATCACCAATGTAGACTTTGTCCTTTCCAGTGTATGGTATAGGTGAAGTGACGTGGGCAATGTCATTTATAATATAAGAGTGGCACCATAATTAATGAGCCACGAAGGGGATGGTTTGGAGCTGTAATGTGCACACATGGCTGCGAGATTTGCAAGTGGAATTCTTCCAGAAATGTTAGAATTCATGCGATCAAAGCAATCTATGGCTTCATGACTTGTGGAACCACAAATCTGACAGATCATATGATTTTCAAAGAAATTAGAACCATGAAACCTTTTATTCTGACATCAATTTAAAGAATTTCAACGAAAATTGCCCTGAGAACCACGATTATGATAGAAACTATTGTTGTTGGTGAATTGATGTCCTCGATTGCTATTTCTTCCACGATTAGAGTGAAATCAAGAAGAATTTTGATGTGAGAATTGATTCTGAGTGAATCAATGAAAGATTCAAACTCATATGGTAAAATAGCCAGTGTTGCCGCCATTAAATCATGATTGGAGATCGGTGCTCCTGTTCTTCTCCCCTTCTCATTCTCCCTTCATCTCTCCCAAAATCACAACTAACAATCCCAAATTCATAGTCATAGCATCGCTACTCTGCGGTTTTCCATATACGAATCGCAGTCTCAGGGCACCCCCATAGGACCACAGTAGCACCACCGTGTAGCTCTCTCTGCAAATTTCTTCACTTTGTTATTGATATACAACTCATAGTCGCATCACCGGGCGTGTTGCTCTTTGGCTCAGGTTCCTTCTTCTTCTTCTTCATTGCACTTTCCCCTTATTTACCATTTCTACGATTAGGGCTTCTAATTGGTTTAAAATTAGGGCTTTCAGATTCTACCTAAATTTTGTTATTGAATTGGCATGAAAATATAATTTTTTTTTCCAAGATTAGTGGCCTCCTTGCTGTTGTCTCAGTCGATTTAATGTGTTGATTGTACTTGAATGATAATCAGGGTTATCAAGGTGGACATGAATCCCAGAATTGATCTCACGGCCTCGTGCGAGGGGCCAACACGAGTCGGGATCAGGGCGAGGATGAGAGTTGGATGAAATCGCAGAGCGATGGAGCTAGGGGAGGAAGCATCGATGAGTACATGATGAGCACAGACAACTCTCAAGTGGGAGAGGCTGGTGAGGGGTGATGAGAGTAGTCACAGAGACTTTACTGGAGATTGGTCAGATAACAAAAGACATGTGATCGACGGGCATCATGAAATAAAGGAGGAGAAACCAAGTGGTGGCCAGGAATAGTAGTGGAAGTCGTCGATAGAGGATCTGAGATAAACTTTTATTTATTTTTATTTATTAATGGTTTGTGGTGTCGGTTATAGGTGACAATATAGTTGTTTATTTTATTTATTAAATAGTTATGTGGTGTCGGTTAGGGCCGATACTACTATCCTTTTTTAATGTCGCATGTATCCAACGTGAGTTTCAATGTCACTTTTATGCGACACTACTATCCTTTTTTTATTTTATATTGCTTTCCTTCTTCGTGGCGGATTAAGGGGACTAACCGACATTAAAAGCCTTTTGGTGACACTAGCAATGGTGTCGGTTATGTTATCCAACATTACATGAGTTTATGTCAGATTTGTATTTAATCCGACATAAATTATAGGTAATTTTGTTGTAGTCCTGAAACCAACGATTTGTAAACGAGCCAACACTTGGATTTCAAAACTCTTTCCTTAATTCATGAGAAGCCATCTTCCTTTGGTAAGTATACATTTTGACTTATACTTTTGTGAATAAAGTTATTATCAAAATAGTATTACATAGTTCTACGGTCCAGTGCATGATATTTCTCTTCATTTGTAAATGAAAGGTCTTGTGTTTGACTAATTCAAAAGGGCATTACAAATATATATCATGAATAACTCGGTCCTCAAAGGGTCCTCGCAAACTAATATAAAAGTATTACAATAAAGCATACTAACCACAATGCAATAAGTAGACATCACGCACTCATACAAGCTCATTGTGAACCGCAAATTACATAGATCAATAAAATCATTAATCCTCGTGCTACACGGAGATCATGTGTAATTTGTAAACAAAATCTTAAATCTTATATTAGAAGTTGGAACAGGAAGTATGATGCCCATTGGTCGATCGCATCACTTAATCACTACCAGGATCCCAGAATACCAAGTGAAGTAGATCCAGCAAGCAAACAACTCCACCCTTCACACATAGATTCAAAAGAGGTAGCACACCAACCAAAACGAAAATTAAATTTTAGAAAAATCTCCTATAGAGAGAAATCAAAGCCAAACTCGAAGGCAATTTCTGGAAATTATTAAACAGAAACAAATAAATAAACCACTTCACATCTTCCGAACATTTGTGAGCCATATAACCGCACTGACTAAATCCATAGTGTCGTTATGACTAAACCCAATCTTGACGAAATCTAACGTCTTTCATGGCTTCTAGCTTCAACCTTATATTGAGACTGATAAATGGATCCAACCCTTGTCTTTACTATGTGTGTCGGCCAAAAGACGACAACTATCACGATGAATACAACGTTTCACATTGACAATATTACCATATTAATTATTTACTAAATTTGATGACAGAAAGTACTATTTAGGACTTACAGAAGGGTTTTTAGAGATCTCCCACCATAAGAGATTGCAAATAACGAGACTTGAATCTACGTCTTGATCTAGTGAAGAGAACAATCATTAGTTATCAACTCAACAAACCTCCGTTGGAAAAATCTCTTTAGTTAAAAAACTATCTAAATTTTTTGGGGGAAAAAGAATATTTGTAGGGACTTTTTATACTTAATTTTCCTTTTCCACGAAAAAAAGGATTGGATTTAATGAATGAAAATGCAGGAAAATAAAGGAGTCGAAAAAGATAAACACGATTAACATTTCATTACACATAATATTTTACACACTTAAGTACCACCGATTAATGTAGGTAGTACATTAACTGACACTAAAACAGAAAATTACAACATAATCTCTTACATTACAAAGATATTTCCTCCTTATTACTAGTTAGGCAATCTCTCTAGATACCTGCATTAAACTAAATGGAGGAAACCATTCTTTTGCACATGCAGAACGCCACACAATTCATCAACACCAATTAACCCCACAATATCTCTTCATCATCAAATCTACACACTTGATTGACATTTTTGGACTCTCCCGCTCAAGTAAGCTCGAGAGATTTACTGCAGCAGCTCGGTAATCCAGTCGAACTGAGGCATCTCCGACACCGACGCCTCTCCACCACCATAACTTTTCATCCCACAAGCAGCATCGATTTCACCTTGGTCATACTCCATCTCATAGTCACTCAGCCTCAACGCCCTCAAATTGTTCAGGAATTCCTCCACCTTCAAGCGAGACTCGTCAACGATCTTCTTGTTGTTCATCATAGTCTGATTTTCCTCAACGGTCAACGGTGCTTTCACTTCCACGCCTCCTCCTCCAAGGTTGGCCTTCGGGGTCCTTGGGGACGCACGGTACACGTGGTCGTAGTTGTCGTTGTTACTGTTAGTACTGGTTGGGAGGATAATAACCTGCTTGCTGATAAGCAATAAAGTATTTCTGGGCGGAATACTTGTGTTCCGGGCGGAGCTGGTCGGGCGAGTGAGCGAAGAAGCACACCTTGCGCGGGCAGTACCCGTTGATGAGAATATTGCATGCACTGGTACGGTACTTGGCCGGGTGGAGCCAATACTCGAACACTCCGTGGGCAAATTCGCAACTGTCGCCCTTGCGGCAGTGACCGGTTCTGCGAAATGCGGGGCAAACAATCGCCACGTAGGCGTATTTGCGGGGGTCACGGCGCTGGGCCTTCTCGCCGCGATGAGCGTAGGGGCACTCAGTCCAGTCGTGGGCTCGCATGCGAGGGCAACGCTTCACCTTGTAACCGTACATCCGGAACTCGTCGGACCCAAATATGGCATTGTCGATCATCGGGTCGTGGTACTGGCACTGGCATTGGTACCGATACAGGACGGGGATCATCGGTTCGTGATACTGGACGGGACTCCCGAAGAGACCCGAATAGCACACGTTTGGTTCGGCCAATAGGTAGTAGTAGCCCGGATACACGCCTTGCATCATGGCTTCGGCTACAAAGGATTGAAAGAAAAGAGCTTACAAGTTATGGGACGGGTTGGAGAGCTACCGGAGAGGGTGTATTTATAGTGTGGGGAGTTCTCTCTGGCTAGCGTTAAAGTTTTAACCATGATTTCACCCACCGTCAGTTATGTTGGAATTCCTGTTATGCAGTGATGTATTTAGAAATGTGTATAAGAAGAAGAGGTTTTAGAGAGAAAATGAAAAGACAGAGAGTGTTCTCAAAATATCTCCGATAGAGCCAAAAATGCTCTCTGCATATATTCCTTCAGAACCTCAACATTTACATGACACTAGGGAGAGGGAAGCTACGTGAGCCTATGAGCTCATCATACCATCCATTACAAGACCCTATGAGATCTTGACACATGCTTACATCTGAGCCTAGCACAATATTATCTAATCTCAGCCCTTGATCACAAACTGATTTATTTACACATGCTAAAGTAAGGAAAATACAGTTTAGACCTTAATCAACTAACACTCCCTTCTAAGGTCTTAACTGAGATTACCCCAAGCTTATCCCTCAGTGCACAGAATCTGTCTTTAGCAAGTGCTTTGGTGAAAATGTCAGCTAGTTGCTCCTCACTTTTGCAGTATTGCAGGTCAATTGTTCCTTCCTGAATTGCATCTCTGATGAAATGAAACTTCCTCTTGATATGTTTAGACCTCTGATGGAATACCGGATTCTTTGACATTGCAATTGCTGATGTGTTATCACACATCAAAGGTGTTGGTTCGATCAATTCTTCACCAAAATCATGCAGCACAAATCTCAGCCATGTAGCTTGAGTGGTGGCTTCTGAAGCACTCATATACTCGGCTTCAGCAGTTGAGAGTGCAACACTCTGTTGCTTTACAGAAGCCCAAGAAAATGCACCACTGCCAAAACTGAAAGCATACCCTGATGTGGACTTCATGTCATCTTCATCTCCACTCCAATCACTGTCACAAAATCCTATGAGTAGAGCTGCATTTCCCTTTTCATACTTAATTCCATAGTCAACAGTTCCTTGCACATATCTGAGGATCCTCCTTGCAGTGCCAAGATGTTTAATGGAAGGACAGTGCATGTACCTGGCAAGTACACATGCTGAGTACAAGATATCAGGCCTTGTTGCAGTTAAGTATAGAAGGCTGCCAACAATTTTCCTATACAATTCTTCATCTGCAGCTTCACTCCCATCACCTTTCCTTAGCTTATCCGTGGGAGGTAAAGGTATTGAGACAGACTTGCAGCTCTTTAAACCAAATCTGTCCAGTAAACTCAGTGCATACTTTTTCTGGTGAATAAAGATACTCCCTTCTTGTTGGATTACTCCAATTCCAAGAAAATGATGCAATAAGCCTAAGTCGGACATCTCATACTTGTTCATCATATCACATTTGAAATCTTCAATCATTTCTAAACAGCTTCCAGTATAAACTATGTCATCCACATATATAGAGACAATCAGAGTTCCCTGTCCATACACATGTTTCACATATAAGGTGGCCTCACTTGGACTCTTGTTAAATCCACTCTGCAGCAAATGAGTATCAATATTGCTGTACCAAGCTCTGGGAGCTTGTTTTAGACCGTACAAGGCCTTTTTTAACTTATATACTTTGTGTTCTTCTCCCTTGACAATATACCCATCTGGCTGATCTGTATACACTTCCTCTTCAAGGATCCCATTCAGGAAAGCAGACTTTACATCTAACTGATACAGTTTCCACCCTTTCTGTGCTGCCAAAGCAATAAGTGTTCTTATAGTGTCCAATCTAGCCACAGGTGCAAACGTCTCATTAAAATCAATTCCGGGCTTTTGAGTGTACCCTTTGGCAACTAATCTTGCCTTGTGTTTTTGTACAGTGCCATCCAAATTCAATTTGGTTTTGAAGATCCATTTTACCCCAACAATTGGTTTGTCACTTGGCCTATCAACCAATCTCCAAGTGTCATTCTTCTCAATCATAGTAATCTCCTCATCCATTGCTTTCTTCCAAGCTTCATCTTGAGAAGCTTCAATGTAGTTCTCAGGTTCAATGACACTGAGTCTACACTGAGCAAATACTTCATTCAGATCTCTCCACTTCTTTGGTGTGTTGTCATAAGTTTCTGTGAGTGGAATTTCACTCTCCATATTCACAGTGTTAGGAGCATCATTGTGTACACTGGAAACAAACTCACTTCTTGTATTTGGGCAAGATAAACCAGAGGAACTAATATTAGTTTCTTCACACACACCATTTTCTATCTCAGTTATGCTTATACCCTCATTATCTTCTGAGAAAGGTACTGAGAAATGCACAGTTTCCATATTCTCCCAATTAAGAGCAGCATCTTCATCAAAAATAACACTCCTTGAGACAATGATCTTGTTGTGTTTCAAATCATACACCATGTAACCCTTTTCTCTTGTCCCATATCCAACAAATACACCCTTCTGTCCAGTTTCATCCAGTTTCTGTCTTAACTGGGTTGGCACATGAGTGTAGCAAACAGAACCAAAAATTCTCAAGTGTTTTACCCTGGTTTTCTACCACAGAATTCTTCAAAAGGAGTCTTGTTCTCTAGTGCTTTGGTAGGACACCTGTTAAGCAAGTAGACAGCAGTGTGAACTGCTTCACCCCAGAACTTGAGTGGTAATTTTTTTTCATAGAGCATGGTTCTTGCCATCTCAACTATGGTACGATTCTTCCTCTCAGCAATACCATTTTGCTGGGGAGAATAAGCAACAGTGAGTTGCTTTTCAATACCAACATCTTCACAAAATTTTTCAAATTCTAGAGATGTGTACTCTCCTCCTCTGTCACTTCTGATTTTTTTCAGTTTGTAACCAGTTTGTAATTCAGTCATGGCCTTGAACATTTTAAAAATTCTGAATACCTCAGATTTGCACTTCAGAAAATAGACCCAACACATTCTGGACTTGTCATCTATGAAGGTGAGAAAATACTTGCTACCTCCAAGTGTCTCACTCATGGGTCCACACACATCTGTGTGTACAAGTTCTAAAGGCAACTTTGCTCTCCATTTCTGTTCTTTGCTAAAAGCCTCTCTGTGAGCCTTTCCAGTAGCACACCCTTCACATACCTGATTGTACTCCTTTAGATATGGCAGACCATACACCATACTCCTTTCTTGTAGCATTCTCAGGCTGTCATAGTTTAGGTGCCCAAATCTTCTGTGCCATTTCCATGTGTTACCTTCAGTGGTAGCAATATTTGCTACAATATGATCCACATGATTAAACATTAGCGGAAAGCATCTATTTCCCTTCATTTTCACAGTGGCTATATGATCTTGCAGTTCACGATCTCCAAATATGCAGGCCATGAAATCACCAAACAACAACCAATAGCCATGTTCAACCATTTGTCCTACACTGAGAAGGTTTTCATCCAAACCAGGTACAATCATTACTTCTGGTATGAACCGAGTGCCTCTTTTGGTCTCCACAATCAGTGTGCCTTTGCCAACTGAGTCAACCAATTCCCCTGTGCCCATTTTCACCTTACACCTTATACTTCTGTCAATGTTGATCAGCAATGATTCAGTACTGGTCATGTGGTTACTGCAACCACTGTCCAGATACCAAACTCCACTATTTTCTTGCACAGAGGCCTTATGACAGGCATAGAACATCATTGCATTATCTTGAACATGATTCAAATAATTTGCAGTATGATTTTTCTTTGGCTGGTGACAATCTCTCACTACATGCCCAAATCTGTTGCAGTTATGACACTTAGGTTTTCCTTTGAACCAACACTCTCCATGATGAGCCTTATCACAGATCTTGCACTTTTGTTTAACACCCTCAGTGATCTCACCTTGTCTCTCAGGTTGTCGAGTGTTGTTTTCCCACTTCCTAGACATAGACTTCCAATTCTTCTTTCCCTTACTGTGATTTCCCTGTGTGAGTGGCCTATTCTGTGCTTTAGGTACAAGACCCATAGTGGAGAAAGCATGCTCTGTGCTTGTAATTTCATCAACATGTCTACTCAATCTGAGTTCATAACTCTTAAGAGATCCTACCACTTCTTGCACAGTCACAGTATTCAAATCAGAAGTTCTTTCAATCACAACACAGATTGGATCATATTTACTGGACAAACTAATCAAAACCTTTTGAACTTCTCTTTGATGAGTGAGGTTCTCACCATAAGATTTCATTTGATTAATTAATTCAAATAGTCTAGTAAGATAGACAGATAGAGATTCATTCTCCTTCATTCTCATATACTCAAATTCACGACGTAAACTTTGAAGTTTAACGGATCTTGCCTGTTCATCGCCGCGAAACTCCTCCTGGAGTAGATCCCAGGCACCCTTTGAGGTCTCTTGATTCACGATTCGAGGGAAGATCTCCTTCGAGACAGCACTCTGAATAATGCCCAGTGCCTTAGCATCTTTCATGAGCTGATCTTCCATGTGTGCGTCCAACTCGTCATCATCTCCTTCATCATCATCCGATGAGGATGAATCTTCCTCGTCTTTCTCCTTCTTTGTTTTCTTCTTTTCTCCTTTCTTCTTCGATTCTGGAATAGCAATCCCTTTGTCAACCAATTTCCATATCCCATACGATTTGAAAATGGTGACCATTCTCACTTTCCAGAACTCGAACTCCGTTCCATCAAAAACAGGAGCTCGTAAATCACTGCTTCCAGATCCAGCCATTTAGCTTGAGTCGGAATGAAATTGAGAGATTTCACGTTGGATTCTCTCACACAGTTTCACAGAATTCAACGCCCAGTCCGAAATCGAACCTAGGCTCTGGATACCATGTTGGAATTCCTGTTATGCAGTGATGTATTTAGAAATGTGTATAAGAAGAAGAGGTTTTAGAGAGAAAATGAAAAGACAGAGAGTGTTCTCAAAATATCTCCGATAGAGCCAAAAATGCTCTCTGCATATATTCCTTCAGAACCTCAACATTTACATGACACTAGGGAGAGGGAAGCTACGTGAGCCTATGAGCTCATCATACCATCCATTACAAGACC